AGAGAAAAGATGTCAGAGGTTAGAATTAAGCAAGGGTTTGTGAAGAGAAGAGAGAGTGGGAGGTGACACAGTAGTTTCAAAGACAGCTGGATGATAGCAGTCCTTCTTCTCCTCCTCTAGGCAGCGCTGGGTGTGAACTGTCCCTTCCAACATGTCCACACTCTACCACCTTCTTCAGTGACTTGGCTGTCTTGGGGTTTATCAGATCAACTGTCATGTGTTGCTTGGTTTTAGTTCCAGGAACCCTTTCATAGTAGGCTAATTTGTTCTCACAACGCATAACCTGCTTTATCCTCAGGTCACCTCATTATGTAAGCATTGTATCATCTCAGATCATCACAAGAAGGGTGGCTGTAGTACAGTATTGAGAGAGAGAGAGAGAGCACTCACATAATCTTTGTCATAGTACATATAGCAATTACTTTATTTTACTATTATTGCTGACATCTTACTGTGCTAATTTACAAATTCAGCTTCACCACAGGTACACAGACATAAGAAGAACCATAGTCTATAATGGGTCTAGTACCAACTGCAGCTTCAGGTACTTATGGAGTCAGGGAATATGTGTCATGGGTAGGATGGCTTATTGTACCAATCCTCATCAAACAAAGACTGCTGGAGACAAGGTACATGGAGAGATAGCAACAAGGGTGTCAGTAAACTGGGAGGGTGGAACTTAGCTGCTTAGCGGGTGGGTGTTCTTTTCTGATGTTCATAGAAGGAGAAATTGCCCAGTTAACCCAGCAGCACTGGCCATACTGTATCTAGAATGGATAAAATCTTACTGTGGAAACAACTATGTGAGCAGCATAGGTTGGTCTTGTCACCCTTCCCCAGCTGCCCAACACAAGCAGAATATAGCTGGATACATCATACCAGAAATAGGATAGAGGACAGAACCACCCAGAACGCAAAGGTAAGGGGGTCATTTTAATGGCACCAGCAATGATAATGGCATTAATATTACCATATTTGGTGTTTTTATTTAGAAAAGAAGTCCTTTTGTTTTTCAGCTGTAAGTGTATATTATACCACAGTGCAGCAACTGTCTTAATCATTGGATAAAGAAACGGAGTCTGGTTGGTTTGCCCAAATCACACAAATAAGTTTTGGGCTTTCAGCTCTTAGATCTGCGCTGTCTGTCGTATTCTTACAAAATCTTCAGATTGACCACAACAGTAATAAGTGTGGCACAGCAGGTGGGGGATACTCGCCACCCAGACTGACAGCCTGATTTCAATAACCCACGTGGTAGAGAGAGAAAGCCGACTCAACAACTTGTCCTCTGACTTCCACATGCTCTCTATGTCACATACATGGTCTCCCCAACAACAAGATGTAATGAAAACAATAATAATTGTGTTTATTGAGCTACTACTGTTTCTTCAGCCCTGTGCCAATGACTTGACTCACAGTTTCCCATGGTTCAGTCACAAGATATAGGTTCACAGCCCCTTTGGTAGTTGAAGAAGCTCAGACTCATTGAAGGCGTATGACTTATTTGTGCTTGGTACTTGGTGATTGGCACTTGAGTGGATACAATTTTAATCTTTAGTGACTATTAGCCTGTGTGATAAGTAAGTACAGATTGCTGTAAACAGAACCCATCAGGCCAGAAAGATGGGATCATTTATACATAGAATTTTCAGAAATGAGACATAGAGGAGAAACACCCTTCATTATCGACAAAGCTCACCGCTCCTCATCCATCACTGTAAGATCTCAGGTGTGGGGCAGTGAGGCCTTGAAGGTCTAGGCTAGACAGTGCCAAGCTTTCTTTTCATCTGAAGATCAGAGAAGTCTGCCGGCTGAGCCCAAGTAAAGGTGCCATTATTGCTCTAGGGGTCTCCACACTACTCTCTGCTGTCTGTCCTCTTGGGGGTTTCAATATACACAGTGTTGGATGTGTCACGCTCTGCTCCTCAGAGAAAGATCAGATTGTCAGGACTTAGAGACCAGCTGTGAATTGGTCTTTCATGCTGAGCATGGTTCACAAGGCCAGATCTCAGCCTTACCCGTTCCCAAGGACTCATTCATTACAAGGACTTGCCTAGATGTGAAAAATAGCCCTCAGTTCTTCCCTCGCTCGTTTTCCACATTGCCTTTTGTAAGCCTGAATATCTCGGGAGATTGTGGGTTTGATAAACAAACAATAAAGAATATTTTTGAGAAGCGAAAGTTTCTATGAACCTCCCAAGTCAAGTTCAAAGTTTTAAAGGACCCTGCACTGTCAGACTGCAAGCATTTGGGGTGTTCTGTCCAGAGTGCAGTCATCCATCCACTACTATTTTGTGGCAGTTAACTGGAAAACATCTATAACCGCCCCTGCAGGGTAGGGTTGATTAAACAACCCATGACACTCTTTTCCTCATAGACAACCTTAAAAATACTTCTGAGGCCTTGCCCTTTCCACGGAGTTAATCACATCTATATTCTGTAGGGTTCCTCTCTGCTACAGTCCTAAAAATGTCCTGGTGTCTTGCACCATTCACAATGGGTATACATAACCAGGGACATAGACACAATTGTTTTTGGTATGGTTTGGTTCTTTCAAAGGAATAGATAAATCATCATGCTACGTGATGAGAGAGGAAATGACAATTTTTATCTTTTATTCAGGTAGCCTAAATTTACATGAGACCACAAAAAGTTCCTGACAGGATGTTATTGATTGCATTCACCCAGCTGGGGCTTGAGATAGTTGGGTCTTCCTGCCACGTCACGGGGCACCCTCTTCCTCTCACTCCTGCCCATGAGTCAAATCTGAGGCCGTCTGAGTCTCCCACAAAAGTGGATGTTTAGGACAGCCATCTCAAGACGTTGGGTAGATTTCCCATCAGTCATTCTCCACTGGGCCCCTTCTCTCCATGCTTATCAGCGACAGCTCCCTCTGTTTTTAATGCTCCAACTGACAGATGAAGTGAAGCTTAGCTATAATAACTAGATTTACTGAGTACCAGTTTTCTCCATGAATGATTTATTTATATTAACTTGCATAATCTTTCCAAGAGAGGTGCTGTTTTTATCCTAATTTTATAGGTGAGGAAGTTAAGAGCCTGGCTTGTGGTTTAAGGCAAAGGCAAACCACCCTCCTTTGCCCACTTCCTTCCTTGCTTTCATTGAAGCCCTAAGTATTAGCCCTTACTGTGTGCCCAGTGAGCTGTGTGATGGGACTGGAGCGGGCAGTAGACAAAACCTCTGTCCCCATGAGATTAGTTAGGCCCATTTCTTCCTGGTGGGCTTTTCCCAGACACCTTTCCCTACTTGCTAACCCTTCTAAGTGATAGTCTCAGCTTTCTTTCCAGTTCCATACACCTAATCTGCCTCAAAATTCCAAGTTTTATGTTTGGTTTAATGTTCCTGTGTGAAGCCTTGCTGTGCTCGTTGGTGACATGTCTTTCCTGTGAACCCCAGGAAGGCTGCTGCAAACTGTTGCCTCCTGTGCACAGTCTCTGAAGTTAAAGTTACTGATATGTCCTAGACTGTGATACACACACACACACACACAGAGAGAGGGGGAGAGGGGGAGAGAGAGAGAGAGAGAGAGAGAGAGAGAGAGAGAGAGAGAGAGAGAGAGAGAGAGAGAGAGATCGGAGAGGGAGGGGAAGAGAGAGACATACAGAAAGAGACAGAGCAATTGGTGGTGATCAAGAGCATTGGACTCCGTTCAAGAAGAAATTTCTTTCCTGATAAAATCATTCTAAAAAGTTGATTTTTTTCAATAGAAATAATCACAAAGTCAATTCACGATTTCCCGGTGAAGTTTGCAATTTGAGAGTGGAGCATCTGGCCCTGAAAACCATAATGCCGTGACCTTAAGAGGCCAGTGCAGACTAAACAAAACATTGGTCCATAAAGAAAGCTTCTAGATGCCTTAGTTGGGAGCAGCTAAGTTCACAACTGCTTTGGCTTCCCATGGTAGCACTCCTCATATCAGGTAGTGTGGGTACGCTATGGCTGGCTGGCTTGGCCATATTGGAGAACAGCTGGGGATGTATTTAGTATAGAGATAATGAGATGTGAATTTATGGTTTTGGTCATTTCCATGTTATCTCTAGTTATGTACTTGCCATACCTTCCAGGGAAATTTCCATCGCCCAGTGTGTTGAGACCTGGAATAGTGATACAGAGATTTGGCACAGAGGGTCTGCTATTTGATGGTCTGAGCACTAAGAGTGAACCAAGGAGAAGCAAGGTTGGAGACAGCATTGAAAAATGGTGCATGTAGAACTCGTCCAAATCCTACAGCTTGGTGACAGGAACTTGACTGCCATTTGCCCCAAAGCTGTCACGAATCCTGAAAATACAGACTATATGTCATTAATAAAGACACAGGTTTCCAGAAACTGTTAGAAGAAAGGCATTCTTCCAGTTCTCTCAATTAAAACATAAAGTTATTATCACAGGAAGAGCAAAAAGTAGAATAAATATCATCTAGGTATGTCATGTGATTAATAATATTGGGCCTGGAGAGATAGTTGAGTAGTTGAGACTCCTCACTGGTCTTGTAGTGCAGTGGTTCTCAACCTTCCTAATGCTATGACCCTTTAATACAGTTCATCATGTTGTGGTGACCCCCACCCATAAAATTACTTTCATTGCTACTTTATAACTGTAATTTTGCTATGAATCTTAATGTAAATATCTGATATGTGCCCCCAAAGGGGTTATGAACCACAGGTTGAGAACCATTGTTGTAGAGGGTCAGGGTTCTATTCCTAGTGCCCACATGGTAGCTTACAACCATCTGTAACTACAGTTCCAAGGGATCCAATGCCCTCTTCTGGTCTCTGAAGCATCTGATACCCATGAGGCGTACTTACATATATGTAGGCAAAACATCTGTACACATAACTTAAAAGTAAATAAATCAAAAAAATATGTTATTATTTTGGAATTTGGTGTAGCATTTGTCAGCTTTTACAGTTTGTGGTTTGCTGTGATTCATTTTTTAATGCTCAATAAATATTTACTTCTGTACTTAATTTTATTTGCAGCTTTGTGTTCTTCAAGGAGAACTCTCAAACATGTTTCATCTTTTCGAGGACTGACCCATACCCAACTCAGTGGTAAATGAATTATGTGGTGTCTATGTGTCTTTTACTAGCCTGTGATTTTTTTCATCAATCTCTAGGCCATTAAGAGAATTTTCACTGTCAGGTGTTTGATGCAGCTGTCGCTGAGGCACTGGTATGTAGTGATTTGTTTGCTCTTTGAATAAATAGGAGAAACCACCATTGTGATATCAGTGTTCCCATGCAAAGTTCATGTTTCATTCATATCATAGGCCCATGGGCAACTCTATTACTTTCAATAGTATGTTCTTCCTGGTTCCTTTAGATGTGGACAGTCAAGGATTTCAGAGAACAGCATGGTGGACTATGAGCATAATGCCATCCCATAGATTCAAGTGTGCCAGGCATGGTTTCTGTTCACATTCCTTTGTTCACAATTAGCCATATTATTTCAAGAAAGGAGATCAAGAAGCTGTAAACACACAAATAGTAGCACTCTGCTCTAGACTTCACTAGACACGGAAAAAGAAAATGATATTTTTTTGGGGGAGATAAGAATGGTTTCACCTGCCGACCTGAGCTTGTGGGAACTCACAGATTCTGGACTGACAGCTAGGGAGCCACATGGAACTGGCATAGGCCCTCTGCTTGTGTGTGACAGTTGTGTAGCTTGGTCAGTTTGTGGGGCTCCCGGCAGTGGGATCAGGATCATGAACTGGCATTTGGGAACCTATTCCCCATGCTGGGTTGCCTTGCCCAGCCTAATGTAGGGGGAGGAGCTTGGTCCTGCCTCAACTTGATGCACCATTCTTTGTTGAGGCCCATGGGAAGCCTGTTCCTTTCTGAACAGAGGAGGGGTGTGGATGGGGAGGGGAATAGATGGTAAGCAGCTGGAGGAGGGAATGGAAGGAGAGGAAGGAGGGGAAGCTGTCATCGGTATAAAAAATAAATGAAAAAATTAATAATAGTAATAATGATAGTAATAATAAAGAATGGTCTCATAAGGGGATTGCCATAGTTGCCCAATGCATGTTTTGTAATTGGATGTGCTAGTGTGCTTAGGTGGGAAGAGAGAAAGACTTGGAATTAGAATAACTAGATTTGTGTCTGTCCCAGAATATTGCCTATTAGCTGTGTGACCTCTCATGAGACACAATCTTTCTGAGCATCAGTTTTATTAACTATATAAGAGGGCTGATAATAACATCTGCCTCACTTACTGCAGGGCTTATTTTCATGGTCAAGTGAGATCAAAGACAGAGTTTATTATACTTAGTCAGATACTATACAAATGTGAGTACCAATCCTTTTTTCCTTTGGTCCAGTCTTGTTGGATGCTCTGACTGAAAGATTAAGTGAAGATTAGTCAAGGTGACATGCTTCATTTGCCTCCCTATAAAATGGATAAAGATGATGATGTCTCTGTTACTAGGAGACCAGAAAACCTTTTCAGACAGTCTTCTTCCAGAGACTATTGAATGGGGGGGGTGGATGGGTAAACCATGATACAGGCATGGAGGAAAAGGGACAACTTGCAGGAGTTGGTTCTTTTTTATAATGTAGGTTGTGGGGTTCAAAAACTCAAACTGTCAGGCTTGGCCACCAGTTTCCCTATCTAACACGAATCTACCAAACCAGCCCTGAATAAGTGATTTTGGGGGCACACTGCTATGTCTCAGGTTTTGGAGGACCCTTTCCCAGGTTACAAGCAGTGGATAGTTTAATGCCCTTACTTATTTCAGTGGTACTCGTGATTTGTGGGAAAGCTAACATCACTGATGAAAAGCCAAACCAGTTTCTGAATTTATTTCTTAAAGTCCTTAAGGGTGACAGCACTCTTGAAAGCTGAGGTTTTCTGGAAGGGCTTGGACTCTGAGAGGTAAGAGTCTGGGGATGTCAGAGAGTTCATGCTAAGCAGTGGAGTGGGAGAGAGGCATTGGGAAGGAGAAATGGAGGTTAGAGGCTGGTGAAAGTACTTGGCACGCTGACACCTTTCCTTATCCTTGTGACCTCTGGGAATCAAAGCACAGAGTGTATTTAAGAGGTTATACATTATTTGCTGATACAGTCCAAGCAATCCTTGTACTGTAAGGTGAGCCTCATTCAACAGAAAACAAAGCAGAAATGTTTGGCCTAAGAAAGTCAGAAGCAGTATCCCATAGGCCTGAAGCCCCAGACATTCTAGAGGCCAGAGACATCTTCCTGGGATGAATGGAATGTGGCCTTTTAGGGCTTCTATTTTCTACCACATGGAGTTCCCAATGATTGCAAATCTGAATCCTTGCCTTCTGTCTTTGATCTCTGAAATGTAGAAGTCAAACAGTCCCAAAGACTATGGACTCATCTGTGTGATCTTGAAACCATCTATCATAAAACCATGACAACAGATAACTGAAGTCAGTATGGCAAAGAGCTAATGGGCAGGGATGCTCTCAGTGAGTACTTGTCAGTAAGTCCACAAATCACCATCTATTCTGTTGGTTGATGTCAATGTTCTCCTACTCATTGAACTGACCATCTAGGACTGGTAGCTGTTTCCCATTGCTCAATACCAGAAAGTCTCATAGACCTCTTCTCCCGACTTAGCTCACCATAGAGAGGTAGGTGGTGGAAACTTCAGGAGGTAAGGCACTGTGGAAGAAAAATAATATATATTATTATATATAAAATGTAAACTACTACCCTGTCTATATAGACCATTTTGTTCAAACATAAAAATCATAGATTTGTGTAGTCTAATCATTTGTCAATAAAATCTAGGATGTCAAGAAGTGATAGTTTCATATTTGCTTATTATTTAGTCTTGCTTGTGAAAATTCTTTGTCATCTCCGGGACCCAAAGCTGTCTATCCAAGTTCAAGAGCTACTTCCCTTCCTAGACATAAATAGGGCATGTATCACACACCCTTCCTCCGAAGTCTCAGGGAACATTGCAGAAGAAGAGGTGGAAATAATGTAAGAGCCAGAGGGAAAAGTGGTGTGGAAAGTTGATTTCTGGGCATTACATGACTGCTGCTTTCTCAGATCCAAGCAGTTATGATTACCTGCAGAAGACTGGGTCTGTCAACAACTTATCATGGAAGGAGGAGGGGCCCATGAGTCCCTATCCTCTAGAAGGATGTATGTGTAGATAATGATTGATTCAGGAACAAGAGACATTTTCTCAGTGGTGGTAAAGTATACACACTCCTGTGATCAAATTCCCACCCATGGTCCTTTCACACAGCAACATGAATGAAAGTCGAAGGTGTAGTTGGGAAGAGGAAGGGTGTTACTTCAAGTGAGAGGAAAACAAGATAGGACAATGGGTGAATATGATCAAACTACATTAACACACATGAAAATGTTACAATGAAATCCATCATTAATGTAAGGAAAACACTCAAGAAGAATAACTTCCGTGTTCCTCATTGTCAACTGTGCTATTCCTGAGTAACGTCTACCACAAAGAAGAGGTGAAAGTGTGTTATTACTACTTTGCAGCTCTTGGTGCTGTGTGTGTTGAATCACAGATTTCTCTTCAGATCCCTGACAACTCCCTGTTTAGTCTGGTCATATCACATAACCCTCCAGTGTACTGGCCTGGAACAGTAGCTCCCGAGTACTTTATTACTGATTGCCACTTTGCTGCTCTGGTGATGATCACAAATGCACCTGTACAGAAAAGTGAAAAAGAAAATTAATTTTCTGCTCTTGTTAAGCTTACTGTGAACACTATGAACTATGAACTGTAAATGTAGGGTAATACATGTTTTCAACTATATCTTCTCTGGGATGCTTTGGATTATATTGCTGTATTTATTTCTCTTTTGTTTTGGTTTGTTTTGCTTTTGGAGACAGGGTTTCTCTGTGAAACAGTACTGGCTGTCCTGGAACTCGCTCTGTATACAAGGCTGGCCTTGAACTCATAGAGATTCACCTGCCTCTGCCTCCCCAGTACTGGGATTAAAAATGTGAGCCACCACTGCCTGACATATTACTGTATTTCCGGTGATCTCTTTCATTGTTGACTGTAGGAGAGGATCCTCAAAGCACATTAAGAAAAGTTTTCCCATTATTGTGAAAAGACTAGCCTGGGAAAATGAAGAGGAGGCATCCATTGTAAAGATTCATGGCCATATGCATTGTGTAGCAAGTCTTCAAACACCTTAGAGTTGGAGGCCATTCCTGATCACCATATGTGACAAGGAGCCTATCATAGGTGGGGATGGGGGAAGAATAGATTAGATTAAGAACAGCAATGTAAGAGAGAGAGAGAGAGAGAGAGAGAGAGAGAGAGAGAGAGAGAGAGAGAGAGAACTGATGATACTCAACTACTCTAGGGGTCTATAGATGGGAGACAGTACGGTTCTGGGAACACTGAGAGATATGATGGCAGGTTCAAGCTCAGGTAGATAGTGTGTTCAGAGCCAGACTGTCAGCACCACTCTGGAAGCCAAATCTTTGAGTCCAGTGGGCTGATCTGTTTACAAACACCTGCTTGCAGCAAGGCCTGGCTACTGGCCTAAGCAATCACAGAGGTATGGAGGCCAGGCTTATTTAAGGCATCTGGTCAACCTCACAATGGGATAGACAGTTGGAAAGTGCTCTGAAGAGAATCAGTAGAAGATGGGAAGGGGCAGAGCCATCTACAGTATAATAAATAGCATATCGATACTAGGAGATCTGAAGCAACAGAAAATATACATAGATCTGTGGGGTGCTGTTTAGGGTGTGACAAGTGGATTTGGAAGCATTGGCGGAGCTAGGCATGGATTACCAAGCCTGACTTGGAGCTGGGGATACTTTATTTCTTCATTCAGCAACGAGTCTGCCTAGAAGAGTGGCATGCTTTTTCAAATGAACACCAGCTACTAGGAAGTATATGCTTGCTTTCATTCCCTTCATTCACCTGTGTGTATATACACAGGCACTTATACAGAAATGTATATAAGTGCATATAGTTCATGTAAAATAAGATATAATTCATATTTTACATTTTATAAATGTACACATTAGTATAGATACTTACACCCTTGACATCTTTGCTTCTCCCATTTTGAAGATTATGTGGT